TTTTTTTTTTTTTTTTTAATTTATAATAGATAAAGTAGATGTAGCTTCCTTATAGTGGCTACAATTGCCTATTCAAGAATTTGTGTTGATTTCTCTGAAGGTCAGATAAACAGTTTAGTTGTGTTTCAGTTTTTTGAACAACCTAGTTTTGTCCTGTTGATAAGAAACTGCAGCATGAGTTGATTCCATTTTGGCTCTGTTGGGCCTACTGCAGGACTTCAGTTCAAACAACTGTGTTCTGTAAAAACTGTAGTTACAGAATAGTGGCTCGCATGGCTGTGGAAACTGAGAAGCCCCACAATCTGCCATGTGGATGTTGGAGACCCAGGAAATCTGGGTGTGTGCATCCCACACCAGGCTAGAAAGGCTGAGAAGGCTGCAGGTGGACATGCCAGCCGAACAGGCGGAATTAACTCAACCTTCCTCCTCCTCGGTTCTCATGCCCCCACCTGGGGAGGGCAGAGCTGCTTCACTCAATCTGCCCATCCAAACGCTGATCTCTTCCAGAAACACATACGTCCACAAGTGGTGTTTAACGGGCTCTGCGGGCACCCATGCCTCGGCAGAGTGGACACAGAATTCCCCATTCCCTGCAGCCCATTCCCAGGGAGCATGGTCACAGGCAGCAGAGATTCTCAGATGGAAGCCTGCATCCTGTGCCTGCCTATTAATATTTACTCAGAGATCTGGGGATTTAGCTCAGTGGTTCTGCCTCCTGCCTTGTAAGCACAAAGACCTGAGTTCAATCCCTGGTGCAAAAAAAAATTTTTTTTACTCAGTAGCTGGACGTGCAGTAACTCACATGAGTGAGCATTCCAGAGCCTCGTTCACTCCTCTAGAGTCAGAGGGTGCGATTCTAAACACTACCAAAACTGCTTGAGTCTTTACCCAAATTCACTCAATTTATGTGTATGGAACTCTGCAAATAGGTAAGAGAGAAAGCAAATCATAACTGGAAATAAAGAAGAGTGTAAGGAAAAAAGATTTAAGACTATCTCCCCTGACGGTCTGCTGACACTGTGGTACACTTCCAAACGCACGTCTTCAAATGTTTGCTGTGCCTTTCTGCTTTAGAGTTGTTACTCTGTGTCTGCTCACACACCTAGTCTAGCCATCATTAGTGCTGCATACATATTAAGAATTGCTATCCCATTTCTTGATCTTCACGTAACTTATTGTAGGGAGAAGGGAGCTGGAGTTGAGAGTGTTTATTGCTGGGGTGTGTGTGTGTGTGTTATTTTGTTGCAGTACTGGGGATTGAGCTCAGGGCATACAGAGCCTTGTCACTGAGCTATATCCCCAGCCCTTTTTTATTTTGAGACAGGATATCTCTCCAGTTGCCAGGCTGGGCTTGAAATTGTGATCCCCCTGCCTCAGCCTCCTGTGCCTGACTGAGAGTGACTAAATTGTATATTAAGCTGGTGGTGGAGTCAGGCGTGATGATGCAAACATAGTACTGTACTCTAGGAGGCTGAGGCAGGAAGGCCAATCCCGAGCCAATCCCAGGCCATTTAGTGACCTAGCAAGATCCTGTCTCATAACACAAAATAAAAAGGGGATAGGGACTGGTTATGTAGCTCAGCACAAAGGCACTGGGTTCAGTACCACCAAAAGAAAAAAGAAAAAGCCAGTGGTGGATCAAAGACCCAGAGCCAAGTCCAGTCAAGAATTCCTTTTTTGCCTCCACAATAGATTATTCCAGACTATTTTCTGTGGGTTTTGCGGTTTCACGTTGCCACTGTTTTAGAAAGCTAGAATAGTCTACTTCTCACTGCTACTGTTCCTCTTTCAAGACCTAGGAATCCAGTAAAGAAGATCAAAAGGCAATATGTGCATTACCAACTCCCTACGAAGAATATATTTCTTATGTATTGCAAACATACTGATAAAAGAAGAAAAGGAAGGAAGGAAGCAAAGCAAAGTAAAGTAAAGCAAAAAAAAAAAGGAATTCTGGTACCTGGGTTCAGTTTGTGAATTTTGTGAGAACTAAGGTCTGTAGGTTGGGAATAAGAGCTGCAGTTTTTCTAAGTGAGATTTATGGGGCTTAGAGCTTTTTGATTATGGCTAATAACATTTTCACTCTTGTTTACAGATCCTGGTGGCTAAACATCTGATCTCTGAATAAGGAGCTTATGAATAATACTGAGACTTCTGGAACATTATCAGAATTCTCAGGCCCCAGCCAGTCTCCAACTGAAAGTTTGAAGAGCTGGAAGTCAGGCCACCGTTTTGTCTCTGTGAGGGAAACCCACCTTTCAGGAAAGGCAGAGGGGAGCAACAACAGCAACAAGCAGTCCCTGAATCAGACACCCTGGTCCATCTTATATTGCCGTGTTTCACAGTGCAGGTTGGTATCGGTCTTGGGGGATGTGAGTGGTCCTGTTTTCTGAAAGGCCTAGATGGGTGGTAAGAGGAAAGGTGTCACATTCACACAACACAGGGACCCCGAGGGAGCCTGTGTGATCCACAGAGGTGAGGGGATTGGGATCCCAGCCCCCTGGAGAGTCTTATGCACCTGACGTCTCAGGTTCCCTAGGCTAAAGTAGCTGAATGTAAAGGCAGTAACGGATTTCTTAATGACTGGAGGTAGAATGACTTGGAGGAAGCGAGTTCTGTCATGTTTAACAAACATCTGTTTTAGAGAAGCCCGAATAAATTTGGTTTTTGGGGGGTACCGGGGATTGAACTCGGATTCTTGCGCTTGCAAGGCAGGCCACCGAACCGCTGAGCTAAATCCCCAGCCCCAGCCCGAATAAATTTGAAATGCAGTCCCACAAGGAATCGTAACTGACATTTGTCCCATGTTCATGCTCTGTGTGCATTCTCCTCAACCCTTCCACACCTCTGGGAGGGAGATTATTTGCGTGTAACCTCAGAAAAGGCCCTGGAAAAGGACAGCGCACTGCTGTGACTGGGTTAGAATCAGGCCATCAGACGGCAAAGGGCCCCAAAAGCCCACAGACCCAAGAATTTTAAGCCAGAAAGGCAGCTATGGTCCAGAGAAACCACTGTTTCTTATTAGAGCCTTCATTGCCACCCCAGAACAATAGATCTGGCACTACCCAAGGCCTGGCAAAGCTCTACACCGTGCTGTTAGCAAACCACAACTCATCTCCCTGGACTGGGCATAGTTCCCTGACTTCTGAAGCTGATGCAGAACCTGGACCCCTATACGTACTGGTTCCCCATCCCCGTCTTCCTGTGTCTCTGCCCTTCCAAGCCAGTGTCCTGCCCTGAAGAGATCTGGCTGTCACCCCTCCACATCCTGCTGGCCCTAGGAGGCCTCCCTGACTTCTGGGACTCTTACGTGGGGAAGAGGACTGTAGCAACAGGCTTCAGGCACTTGGCCTCTTTAATGCCCATTCCATCCCAGAGGCCTTCAGCAGACACCACCCCCTTTTTAAACAAAGCTTCCATGCTTTCCCTCGAGATTGTAGTGATTATAACCTATGGCTCCACAAAGAATTTTTAAATTTTGTTTATATAATTAGTTATTAAAATGTTTTAGGTAACAAGTTACAATGACATGCCCTAAAATTTGTAATGCCTCGGCAGAGGACACAGCTGCACAATTTATCTAGATGCCCCCATACAGACCCTCAGTTTTCACTCGGGCCCCTCTCTCTCCACCTCACTGAAAAGCTTACAGCTCCAGGGCTGTTCAGGGACCAAAACACCTTGGGAGTGAGATGTATTGTCCCAGCCCAGGCCTTCAGCTGCTCGCTGCTCTGACTCACCTGGGCTCTCACAGAAACAGACTGGCTGGGTTATGAGAGCTCCCAGAGGGCTCTGGAGTCCTTGTGTGAGGGGCCAGTGTGGGTGACAGCCCAGACTGTCAGGGGAAGGGGCACAGAATGGCGGGAGGCCTTTTAGTCCCCTCTTTTGATCATCAGACCAGGAGAGGCAGGTGTGGGGAGGACTACAGTAGCCTTGCTCCCTGACTGGCCAAGGGATGGATGCAAAGGACCACGTCACCACGTGTGATTGTCAAATCAAAACATAGAGAGACCGAAATACTACTGAAATGAGAGGGTTCATTGAGCTGTTAGAGATGCTAACCAAAAAGAAAAGAATGGGCTTGGGACAGACTCCCTAAGACACAGCTGAGACATCGGTTGCAAAAATGTCCCCTGGGTCTAAGAAAGCAGGGTGTTGTATGATGAAAATGTGAGGAGAAGGCGCACATTGCTTACACACTGGGTTCACTCAGATGACTACAGATGAGAACCGGCAGTGTCCTGGCGCAGGAGGCGGCCTGTTAGGGGAAGGGCTCGCTGCTTCCTGGTTGGTTCTGCACGCAGAAAGCAAAGGCTCATCTTTAACGTGCAGTAGAGGAATGTTGGGCTTTTTTTTTTTTTTTTCCTTTGTTGGCTTAGCCCAAAGCTGTCAAAAAGATTAATTCCTCTTATCTTTTCCTCTCTTCCATTCTCCGGCCTACATTTAGGACATCTCAGAATCTATGAAATTCAGAGGGCTCTCTCAGCTCTGAGCCAGGACAAAGGTAAGAAGGGAAAGTGAGTCCCGGTATAGCAGAGGGTAAGGACCCCGCCCTCTGCCCCCCTCCATGGCTATTGCCAATTTCTGATTTTACGTTTGGGTAAGTTTATTACCTCAATCCCATACACATCCCAGCTCGACACAGATGCAGTTTTATCCCAGGAAATTCTGTTATTTCATAACTGCCTGCCGGGGATTTAGGTCAGTGGTGCTGCGCCTGCCTGGCAAGTGCAAGGTCCTGAGTTTGTTCCTGGTACAAAAAACAAAACACTGCATCCAGCCAGGCATGCCTGGTTTATGCCTGTGATTGCAGAACTCTTTGAGGCTGAGGCAAGAGGATTGCAGGTTTGAGCCCAACCTGGGCAATTTAGCAAAATGAAATAAAAATTAAAAGGACTGGGAAGTAGCTCAATGTGAAGGGCCCGGGTTCAACTCCCAGTACTGGGGGTGGGGGGTGGGGAAGAAAGCTGCCATCCCTTGTCACCTCCTCCTTGGAGCTTCCCCAATCTGCTACTTCAGTGTTTCTTTTTTCTTTTCTTCTTTAGACTTTAGTTCAGACGGGTGTTGAATTCACTCTGTTGCCCAGGCTGGCCTTGAACTCACAGGGATCCGCCTGCCTCAGCCTCGCAGTGCTATGATGAGAGCATGTGCCACCACACCCAGCAGTAGGCAGGCAGTTCTTTGTGCAGATTGCAGGACGGGCCCATGTAAGCACACAGTCCCTGCAGATCTGTGACCTCATGGGGGCCCAGAACCGAAACAGGCACATCGTCACCCTACCTGGAGCCTCAAGCACCATCTCCACACAGCACCCGGTCTTGGGACCTGACAGAGATCCTCAGTGTCTAACAGTGAGTGAGTCAGGCACAATTTACGGCCCTGAGTTTCCCAAGAGAAGCTGTGGCTCAGAACACTTGACAGCCCCCCACCTGTCCCTCTTCATAGCTCTTTGGTCCTACTGTAGCCATTCGTTTTCAGCTATTCGACGACAAGCCCAGGAGAAAATCTACCCACGAAACAAAATAAAATTTCACTATCCATGGGAACATCATAGCCACCTCATCATTTCTGCCTTACTCAGGAAAACCTAGGAGCTACAGAAAAGGGGACAGCCATGCAGATCTCTCCCCACTGGGTCCCGAGGACTGCGCCCAACCTCCTGAAAGTATCCTGTCAGTAGTACTACCCTAACTCAGCGCAGCGTGCCACAGGGCCCCAGGCACGAGTGACGGGCTGCCGGGCATTGCTGCAAAGTGGCCTCTTGATCTCCACCAGGGAGGTGTCCTGGCCTGCCGCAGTGCCAGTCAGGACCTGACTCCACCTCCCAAACCACAGGCCATTATGACGAGGCACCTTTTCCTTTTGCACAAGGAAAGCAGGCCTGGAAGGGCTTGGCTGGGCTCCACCACGGGCCCTAACCTCTCACAAGCCACAGACTGCTCCACCCGCAGACCTGGAATGACTGAGAGGGTCAGCAGACCAGTCTGGACCTGGAATTATTTGGTCCAGAACACACAAAGTCTTGTCTGTAGTGGCAACCAGAGGAAAAGAACCCTTTCTCCTGGGAGCACAGGGCTAGCTGAAGTGAGAGCTCAAGTAAGGGTAGTTACATTCCTTGAGCAAAAACACTACAAGTGTCCAACCAGAGGGGCCAGTGACGGGCCTTCTACTGTAAGAGTGGTAGCCTTAGGGTACAAACTGAGTGGATTCATATGAGGAAGCTTTAAGCTGTTGCAAGTAAATAAACAAGAGAGCAGACCTTTTGGAACTTTATGTAAAATATATATGTGAGTAGAAAGAAAAGAATTTCAAGAAATAACAAAATGTCAGTGGTGATCTCTAGCCAGTATGGCAGGGCTGTAGATTTTCTTCCTTGTGCCTGTATTAGGGTTTAACCAAAGAAAGAGTCCACAGAAGATACACTTTAAGAGATTTGTTGCCAGGCATTGCTTTATGCCATTTGGAGACTGGTGGGGCAAGTGGGAGATGCGGGCTGACTAGACTTCTTCGTCTTCAGCCTCTCGGTGGAGTAAACCAGGTCTACCCAGTTTACCTAGGATAACCTCCTATACTTAAAATCAGCTGATTATGCGCAGTAATCACACCCACAAAATACTTCTCACAACACCTAAATCAGGGTGTCCTTGATAACTAGGAGGTATTAGACTAGTTGTTACGGCGTGGATGGAGACTGTCCCCCAAAGGCCTCGTGTGCCCACAGGCGGGTCTTTCGGAAGGCAGCTGAGTCATGGGAGCTGTTGGGAGGTTGGCTCTGGTCAGAAGAGGCAGGTCACTGGGGGCGTGACCTGGAAGGGTCTGTCTCCCTCCCTGGGTCAGCTGTTCTCTCTGCTTCCTGGCCTCCGTGATGTGAGGAGCGTTTCTCTACCTGGGCCCTTCCACCGTGCTACTTTTGTCTGAAGCCAGCTGACCATGCAGGGACTGAGACTTCTGAAAACATGAGCCAAAATAAACTTTTCCTCCTCCTCCTCTCGGTATTGGGTATTTTATCTGAGCAACAAAGACAGTGACTAATGCAGCTTCTGATACCAGAGAAGTAGGATCATTGCAAGAACTATACCTGAATGTGGTCTGTTTATTTATTTATATATTTTGGTTTGGTTTGGGTTTTGTTTGTTGTTGTTTTTGTTGTGGGTTGGTACCAGGGATCAAACTTGGGTCCTTGCACTTGCGAGGCAGGTGGCTGCACCACTGGAGCTAGATCCCCTGCTGGTTTGCAGTTTTTGTTATTGTTTTTTGTTTTGTTTGTTTGGTTTTGGTTTTTTTGGGAGGTTTTTTTTTTTTGGTACTGGGGATTGAACTCGGGTCCTTGCGCTTGCAAGGCAGGTCACCAAACCCCTGAGCTAAATCCCCGGCCCTGGTTTTGGTTTTTTTGGGAGGTTTTTTTTTTTTGGTACTGGGGATTGAACTCGGGTCCTTGCGCTTGCAAGGCAGGTCACCAAACCACTGAGCTAAATCCCCGGCCCTGGTTTTGGTTTTTTTGAAGCTGCGTCTTACTGTGTAGTTCAGGCTGGCCTCGAACTCATGGCAGTCCTCCTGCCTCAGCCTCCTGAGTGCTGGGACTGTACATGTGCACCACCATACCTGGCCTGACCGTGTGATTTAGAAGCCTTGGGAAGTGGTTTTCAGAAGGAGTTTGGAAAGCTGAGAGATGACAAGTAGAGGAAGCCTCGAATGTTGTGGGCCGCGCCTGATGGAAGATTCTAGTCAGAGCTCAAGACCAGAGTGCTGATAAAATTACAGAAGTGAGGATCGGGCTCGGGAGGTTTCAGGTGAGCAAGGACTCCATTGGCAGATAGACTCAGGACTGTGTATATTATGCCCTGGCAGAAAATTCATCTTCATTTGGTCCATATCCCAAGCCTTTGCAGTAGTGTGACATTAAGGGCAGAAGGCTAATGAATCTGGCGGAGGAAATTCTAAGGCAGCCTAATCCCAAGGCCAGGACAGAGGTATTGCTGGCCAATTCCAGCCACATCTACCCTGAGAAACAAGACCAAAAGGCAGAGCTGAATAATTTGAAAAATCTTACTAGTGGCCAAGAATGAAGCACCTGGAAAATTGGGGCCTGTGAAGTTTTGGCCCAGGACAGCTTGGCAGCTAAAAAAATTAGCATTGAAAAGAAGCCAAGTGACCAGGTGGTAATACACCTGTAATCCCAGCACTCAGGAGGCTGAGGCAGGAGGATTGGTGTGAGTCTGAGGCCAGCCTGGGCTACCTAGTGGCCTCAAAGCCAGCCTGAACTACATAGTGAGACCCTGTCTCCAAAAAAAAAGGAAAATTTTGAAAGGTAGCTTCTGTCTAAGAGAGACAGAAGGGAGACCAGAAAGTTGGTTACCTGCCCACCCTGCTTCTCAAGCCACAAGGTGAGGCGGGTACAAGGTGGGACAAAACTACAGTCAACTAAAGACCCTCATGTGAAATGGGTCCAATGGGAAATCATGAGGTGGAACAAAACTATGATCAACCAATAAGATTACAAGTATAGTCACTTAGGTAATATTGATTCAATGGAGATCAAATGGGAAAGCTAGTCATGTAGCAAGCAAGCATACAGGGAAAGAACAAAGATTTCTTTTTTTAGGGGGGGGCGTTTAAAACAGGGTCTCACTGGAGTTGAGACTGACCTGGAACTCACTATGTAGTTCCGGTTGGTCTCAAACTCACAGCAACCCTCCTGCCTCAGCCTCCCAAGTGCTGGGATTATAGGCGTGTGCCACCACACCCGGCTAAGAACAAAGATTTCCGGGAAGAGTGGACTAAGTTATGGATGCCTATTTAGAGTATCAGTCACTGCTGGTCATCTGTCTCTAGGGGATGTGGGTGTGATGGTTCCTCTTTTTTAAAATCTTGCCCTGAGCTGGGCGTGGTGGCACACGCCTGCCTGTAATCCCAGAGGCTGAGGCAGGAGGATCTCTGTGAATTTGAGAGCAGCCTGGGCTACACAGTGAGTTCCAGGTCAGTCTCAACTACATAGTGAGACCCTGTCTCAAAAAAAATAAAAATAAAAATAAATAAATAAAATCTTGCCCTTCAGTAAATGGGCCACAGTAGTCTTCTGTATGGACGCTCTGAGGGCCTAGCCCTGTCTGACTGCCTATAATATATCTAACTACCTTAGCTGGCTATAATACCAGCACGCAGGACATTGAGGACAGAGAGTCCATGAGAGTTCCAGGCCAACTTGGGCTACATGTATAACCCAGCAGTAGAGCCCTTGCCTAGCACACATAAGGTCCTGGGTTCAATCTCCAGCACTATGAAAAAATAAAATAATAGCAACACATGGCAAAATCCACCATGAGATGTCACCTTGTAACCACCTGGATGGTTAAAATTTTTAAAAAAGATACAGGGACCAGGAGTGTAGCTCTGACAGAGCACCTGCCTGGCACGTGGGAAAGCCTGGGTTAGATCCCTAGCACTATAAAACAATAATAATAACAATACCATAATAATTGACAAGGTTATGGAGAAACTGGATTCCTCATCCATTGCTGGTGAAATGATAAAACAATGTAGCCACTTTGGAAAAATACTTTGGCAGTTCCTCAAATGCTTAAAATGTAGAATTGCCACATGACTCCGCAACTCCACCCCCTGGCATGCACCCAAGAGAACTGGGAACAACTCAGATGCCTGTCAACTGATGAGTAACGGGACATAGGATATCCAGGCATGGTGGTGCGTGCCTATAATCCCAGCACTCAGGAGGCTGAGGCAGGAGGATCAAGGAGAGTTGGAGGCCCGCTTGGGCCACATAGAGAGTTCAAAATCAGCCTGAACTATGTAGGGAAACCCTGACTCAAAAAAACAAATGTAAGAGCCTGACTGAACCAGAGCGACTCCATGTTGACCAGCAAACGACCTAGAGACTGTCGCTCCCCCCAATCCCTTATAGGATAACTAATGATTAATTGTGAATTGTTAGGTAACTGCTTTGAAGTAGCTTGGAAACTGTAGTGAACACAGAGACCCAACACAAATCACACCACTCCTTACTTGCCTGTAGTTGAATGTTCTGAACATTATAATCTAAATTGTAAATGGATAATGGATAATCGATCTGCTGATCATTAGTACGTGACGGTCAAGTATATGCTTGATGACCACTAGCTCAGATCAACTGATTCTTTGCCTTTGTCCTGTTCCTGTAAGTTTTAAGTGTAAACCCCCCCTTAGCCCTATATAAAATGGCCTCTGTTTCTGAGCTGGCCGCCTCTCTGAGCTGCTTGGCTTGGGGAGTGCCGTCTGGCCAGACTAATAAAGGTCTATTTGCCAACTTGCCTGGTGTGTTCCTTCCTGGGTGACTCTCGCTGTCTGACAAGCTCCTGGAGCCTCGCTGAGCTTCTGAGCCTAGCATCGTGGAAGCCTCTTGGCTGTTCACGCTCCAGGAGTAAAAGTGAGACTTAAATCTTACACAAAAACTGTGTTTTATCCATATGAGGGAATGTTATTCGTCAGTAAAAAAGAATAAAGTACTAATATATGCTACAACATGGATGAACATTGACAACATCATTTGGAGCGAAAAGCCAGTCACAAGACCACATGTTGCATGGTGTCATTTATATGAGATGCCCGGAATAGACAAATCCATAGAAACCAAAGGAGATGACATGTGAATGCTCGGAACCAAGGGAGAGGGGAAAATAAGGACAGAACACCAATGGATGCAGGTCACTTTTTTGAGGTGATGGAAATGTTCTAAAGCTAGGCAGTGGTGGTGATTGCACGATTCCATGAACATACCTGCCGGGTACGAAATGTATTATGGGAAGGCAGTCAATCCTCCAACCGCCTAGAAAGGGGGAACAGCAAGGGATAAAGAAAAAAGATAATAGAGACCTGTGTAATTTGATGGTACATGAGGCCGGGGTGCGGCAGGAGGTCAGTGCCTCAGAGCAGGCAAAGACTAGGCCACTTGGAGCTGCCCAGTGCTTATTGGGTTGGTTCACAGGGAGTATCGGACCTCCCAGAGGGCAGCGGTAACTGAGTTCATGAGGATTTTATGCAAATGTAATCCTGCCCTTGAGCCGCACAGCACCATGGGACCATCGAGGCCTCAAACAGCCCTAATCGTCATTTAATTGTGAAATGATTTTTTTCAAAATGCATAGAAGGGATTTAGCTCAGTGGTTCGGCCACCTGCCATGCAAGTACAAAGACCCAAGTTTGATTCCTGGTACAAAAAAAAATTGTATATAGAATGGCCCCCAACAATACATTTGGCCTTTGTCTCCAGTTTCTCTCAAAACTAAACCCTTGGAATGTCCCGTGGGAGTATCTGTTGTTATTCTTTTGTTGGTTTTTTTGAGACAGGGTCTCACTAGGTAATTTTTTGTTTTGTTTTGTCTTGTTTTGTTTTGTTTTTGAGACAGGGTCTCACTATGTAGTTGAGACTGACCTGGAACTCACAATGTAGCCCAGGCTGGTCTGAACTCACAGCGATGATCCTCCTGCCTCAGCCTCCCAAGTGCTGGGATTACAGGTGTGCACCACCACACCCAGCCTCACTAGGTAATTGAGACTGACATGCAACTCACTGTGTAGCCCAAACTGGCTGGTCTCAGACTCACAGTAATCCTCTGGCCTCAGCGTTCCTGAATGGTGGGATTACAGGCATAAACCACCACACCTGGCTTGTTATTCTTAAGGAGCCCCTTTTAACACTTTGGCTATTCAGCCTCAGATTGGGGAAACTAAATCAGAGAGAATTAATGGTTTGGAGCTTTCCACCCCATCCATCTCTCCCTGGAAAGTGGGGAGGAGGTGGAGATAAAGCTTTAAAAACCCTGGGAAAGGTAGACACAGTGGACCATGCCTGTAATCCTAGGTACTTGGGAGGCTGAGGCAGGAGGATCACTGAGGCAGGACGTCCCACCTGGACAGATAAGTGAGATGCTGTCTCAAAAGAAAAGAGTTGGAAAGGTAGCTCAGTGGTAGAGCACTTGCCTCACATCATGGGCTCAACCCTCAGTAACCACAAAAAAAAAAAAAAAAACCTTTAGCACTCTGTTCACAAGCCACACTTGCCGCAATGATACAGAAAGTCTGAGCATGTTTAAAAGTGGCCATTGGATCTAAAGATATCA